TTTTTTGTCCAATCCTTTTTAAGGTCTGAAATGAGCAAAATGGTTTGTATTCCCAGACGGTGAAGTAAGAAACAGATAGCTGGATGCATACAATAACAAGAAAAATAACCACACGGGGAAACTGAATATAGCTGGAAGCAAAAGATGAGCCAAAATATCTCCTCTATCTGAAATTCTATTAGGTTGGACATCATTCTCAGCATCGCAAAGCTACACTTCAGATATATTCAAGAGTGATGGTTTTCATACGCCTTTTCAGCATGGTTCCAATTAAATGAATGGAAAGAAATACAATCCCACATCTTTTTGCTATCTCGAGTCACTGCATTTAAATGCCACCCCAATAGATTTTTGTGTAGAATCTAATAGCAAACAGTCACAATATTGGGATGCCTTTCTGTCTGTTTAGAAAAACATAAGCCAGATGATACAAAATGTTGACCTGTTCTCACATTGTTTGCCGTAATTCATTTCGAGTGGACCTGTTTACCGAATCCTTCCCTCTCCATTTGGATTTTCTCAGTCATAAAGGCTCAGTCCTTATCTTTATCCACCCAAAACTCCCACTGGCTTCAACAGTTTTTAGGCACGCTGGGCGCACACAGGCTCAGCTCCTGCAAAAGTTATATCGCTTTGTAGGAGCCCATGTCCCTACAGCCGGTCAGTTCACCTCCCTTTACAATTCCCTTTTACTACAAATTATGGGGACAGAGGTGCCCCTTTCAGAGGAGCTGGGGCGGGGAGGGAGGGCGAAAGCAGAGGTCAGCCCCTAAACAAAAGCTGGCAAGCTTACTGAATAAAAACACAAAATAAAGGAGCTTATTAAGCTGTCATCAGCAGGGTAAGTCTGTGCAAACAACGGGCCCTGCTGCATTAGCGTAGGCACCCTAGCTGGATTTTCAGAAAAATAAATGTCAAGCCAGAACCTCTGCCAAAGTGTTACATTTCATTTATAGAGGCTGGTTGCTCAGTCGGGAACGGTGGGACCGGCCACCCTCCCCAAGCCAAGCCGGGCTCGGCTCTGCCCCACTGCCGGGCTGCCGCAGAACCGCCACGCCGGCTTCTGGCGGGCAAAACTCCCCTGTCCAGACCACGCGATTTCCCTAAAAATTACAACACGTTGTGAATCTTTTTCTTTGCCTTGCTAGTTTTTAGCCCTTAATGTTCACAATCTTTAGATTTTTCTCTACAACCACAAAAGCTGGAAATTTCCCCCTTTCTTCTTTAACAAACATGAGATTTCCATGACTCCAGGAACAGGAACTTCAAGAACACTATTGCTAGCTGTAATAGAAGTGACAGGCTCAACTGCATTACATCAGAAGTAATTTCTAGAAACCTAATTCCCTTCTCCTTTAATTTGGATTTGCCCAAACTTACTACAGCAATGCCTAACCGCTGCCCACAATAGAAATGTGCAATTAAAAAAAAAAAATCACTTTCACGAAGAGCAACAGTAGTCAACACTTGCCATAGCCTTTAATTTCAAAAATACATGGACACAGGGTTAGCTAATCAGAACTGGTGGTGTTGAGATTGTATTTTGTAGTGACTTGGTGCCCAGGGAAAATAAAAAACACTGACTGACAGTGGTAGCCATCTGATGAGCTATTTGTTTGAGCTGCTACACGTCAAAACCAGAACAGCGCATTTTAGAAGCTCTTGCTACTTTATTGCTAGCAAAGTGAAGGTAATATTTTTTTATGCAACAAATCCTTGGATTCACCTTTCATTCCCGGAGCACCGGGACAGTCCCTGAGAGAGCAGGAACATA